GGGAGCCCGATGCGGGACTCGATCCCGGGACTCCAGGATCATGACCTGAGCCAAAGGCAGTCGCTTAACCAACTGAGCCACCCAGGCGCCCTAGGACAGGTTTTAAAGCCACTTGTGGCTATTTTTGCCCATCTGCTTTTCTCCTGTGACTTCGGGATCACCTGGCCTGTGTTCTAAGGTTAAGGGCCGTGTGGCGTCCTCAGATGCTGCAGATAAATTAAGATCAGCCACTCCGCTCCTTCCTCAGGCTTTCTCTCTGCTCCCATGTCATTCAAACACACCTTTCATGTGGATATTTCCTTGTTTGCTACTAGGAATTTTGTCATTGTTTTGTGGCTATTGAAAACACGACTTTCCATTATGTTTTGGCTTTTCTGCTCATTTTGTGTTCTGTTAAAAACTTAGCTCTTTTTTTGGTCACAGCTTCTTCTCTGCTTCTCTTAGATTTTCTGCGCTCACCGCCTCTCCAGTTTCGCAGCCCCTGCCCCCCCTCACTTCCCCTACATCATCTGTTTGGCCGCGTCGGCCTTTCACTGCAACAACAGCCTCCCCGACCCCTGATTTGTGAGAGGACGGGACAGCTCGACTCCTGAGAGTGTGGCCCCGTCTGCCCCGCTGTCCTGGACGTGGATTTTAAGTCGCTGAAGAGTTATGAAGAATGTAGTTTGCATACCACAGGTTTTATTAATGTAATTTTAAGGCCAATTAAACTAATTTTATTCAGAGTTAAGTCTACATTAAATTACAAGATTAACAATCTCTAGAGACAATAAACGTAAAATTTAAGAAGTAGAAATCTATTTGGTCTTTTATAGACCCCATATTATAGAACTGACAAATGAAAATTTACAAATATAGAAATAATGATACTTCAAGGGTGAGGATTTTCACATGGAAACCCATAAGATGTCATATTTTAAACACGCATGTTTCAAAAAGGGAGAAATTTTTAATAATTTAGCACAAAATTAAATTATATAAACTTGGTATATCCCAGAAAATATTGCTTTAAACACTCATACCATGATCAAAATTCCTTTGGTAGCTTTTAATCAAAATGAAACATGCTATTATGTAAAATATAAAGTACTTTTAAATGTTACCAGAAAAGTATCTTTGTTACAGTTACGTACTAACATCATTGTCCCCCTGCTCAACCTCACCTACACACACACACATGAAACCAGGTGCCAACAAAGTCCTTTTAATCTTTTGACAAAATAACCTCTGCTTCACAATATCAAGACTTGGAGTCTCCTAGAGAACTTTTTACAGTGGTCACAGCACAGAGAGCAACAGCCGTCCCTGCACAGGACTGTAAAAACAAACCAAACTTTATTCGAGCAATTAAACAAATCAAACAGCAGTTACCCCGATGCACAAACAGGGGCTGCTAGACGCAATCCTGGAAGAGTAAACACAAACACACCGTCCCCCAAACCCCTAAACAGAAAATTCACAAACAACTCAGTGGAAGTAGAACAAAGATGCGCATGGGTTCCTGCGGCAGGTACGCCCGACCCGGTGTTGTCCCGGCACACGGGAGTGGTCTCACCGAGAAAGCTCGCTCTAAAAAGTCAGCCATCGGAACTTCAAACGTATGGAAAGTAAAGGAAACAAAGAGATGCCAGGATTAGGTTGCATAATCCATTAGCCAGTGTCTGACACCGACTGCCTCTTCCTAATGCTTGCCCACAGAGGGCTCTCGTTCCTAATAAGCGTCCCATCAACTAAGAGAGCCTGCCTTCAGGACCTCTGCCGCCCGCGAATGCAGCACGGAGGGTCTTTTCAGCTGTGCATTCATGACCACACACGCACCAAACCAAACCTTCAGCTTTCTGCCACAGAGCACCATGTGACAAAGGACACTCTTTTAACCAATAGCTTCTTGTCCAATCTCAAAGTCATTCTGCAACAGAGCAACAGAAACGATTTAAACACCAAAGAGAGTTAAGAGGAAGAACTGGAGGGAAAGACACATATGCCATTCGCAAACCCTCAAACTTTGTGAAGGGTGATCCAAGAATCATCTCTTTTCCCTCGAATCCCAAAGTCTCCGTGCTGGCTCAATGTCAGAAGTCCTGGAAACAGCACGGAAGTGCTTCACTGCTCTGAAGATACATTCTAGTGTCTCGCTGAGAGAAAAGGGCGGCCGACACATCAGGCCACGTAGTGGTACTGATTCGGATTGTCCTTGTCTCTCTCCATATAGTCTCTGTCTATAAGAGATTCAATTCTCTTTTTCAAATCTCCAGGCTGAAAAAGAAAAACAAAACCCCTCCATTACAGCAGCATTAAATTTACAAACATAGGGGAGCAGAACGTATGCAAGAAGTATGTGATTATAATTATGTACATATATTACATACATGATTACAGAAAATGTATGTATCTGTATGTAAGCTATTTATAATTATTAGTTAATTACAAAATGAACCCGATGGAAGTCCCTACACTTCGAAGACAGTGCCAACCTTACCTCTTGATGGCAGCGCTCGCACGTGAACGGACGGTCAGAGCGGGCCGCGCGTGCTCAAGGGTGAATGCGTTCTTTACCAGCACGCACTCACGCACTCACTCCCACAAGCACGGCCGACCCTACCCCAGGGTAGGACATCCCATTGTGTGACGGGGAACCTGATGTTGCGTCAGGGCATGTCTCCCATACTGTGTTGTGTTACTGAGTCCTGACTGTGCTCCGGGGAGGGGGTGGGAGCCCAGGCTGCGAGCGCTCCCACGTGAGGAGGCTGCCCGGGAAGGGCGCCCCCGCTCTGCTGCGGGAGGAAGCACACTCATGTCGCTTATGAACAAGCTTCTCCCTGTCCAAGGGCACACGCTCTCTATCAAAAGGCGTAGCCTTCTGTTCAGTTCATACGTTCACAAGATACGGGATCAGGGCTGAATCGCTGCTGCGGCCGCTGCACACCTCCCCCGCCCTTCAGTCCTTTAACTGCTGGGTTTCTCATCTGCGAAGGGAAAGCGAACACTCGCCCTGCTAGAGGTAGGAAAGAATGGTGCCCACAGCAGGGTTTCGTGACGGCCCAGGCACTGTGGAGAATGCGCCGTCTCTGGAGGGCACAGCTGCCCCGTGCTTGCTCGGGTAAGACAGCTCCGGCTGCGTCGGCGTCTGCTCACTGACCCACCTCAACTTGACTCCCTCAGTGAGGATGGAGGGTGAGCTGCTCTTCTACCAAACTGGACAACACAGAATCAGGGAACTTCCACCCCAAAGGAACACAGGGCCAGGCTCAGGCACTGAAAAGCCAGGTCTCATGAGAGCCCCATACTTTCCAGGTGGAGGCTCATGTTTCAAAGAGCTTTTCCTAATGCTTCCCTAACCGGTCCGTACTCCACATATGTCCATACGTCCAGGGCAGTAGCTCTCAGTCTGTTCAGGGTCAACTTTCTCATGCACAGAAACAAGGAGAGATTATCAAAACAGAAAATGGTCTGGAGCTTGTCAATGCTGAGTAAATGAGCTGTTAGTGGGATTTCCTCAGAATCCTAGGGCATAATCTGCACAGCTACACTACTGAGAAACATGGTCTCAAGCTCTGCCACGCGCCTCCCCCTCCTAAAAAGGTATCAAGTACAACATCCCTGCAAGCGGGAGTTTTAGGGACCTCTCGTCCCCAGATGGTCACAAACAGCATTTGGGACAGAGACTCTGCTGTCATCACTTGCTGGCTGTTCGACAGTCGGTGGGCACACAAAGGTAGACTCGTGCAAGAAAACGATCACCTGTGATGCAGGACAAATGAGTCTACAGTGTTAAGAGCTGAACACGCTTTTTCAATGTTCAGCACAATACTACAAGTTTAATTAAGCTAATATACATTTACCTTTACTGGAAATTTCAGCTGATTATACAATTCAGAAACTAGAAGATTATGACCAAGAGTCTTTCTCATCTTCATTATTCTGACAATAGCAGCATCAATCTGATACTGTCTGTCCTGAAACACACGCTCGGTGGTGCTGACTTGTTCTTCCACCTGCATTTGCACACAAAAGAGTGAAGTTTAAAGATATATTTTGGCGTTATTTCATATTGTTGAGTTTGATGAGAAACTTCTGATGCAAAGGAAGGCCAAACTTTGGGTAAATCCTGTTCTGTTATGCATTTTTATTTGTTTGAGCAAAACCTAGCTTCCCAAGGACAACACGACTTCAGTACCAGACCTTGAAAAATAAAGTTGTATTTCCCTTATAAAAAGGCTACAAAATACTACATAAACTCTATATAATCCTGGATTAGATCCAGTAGCACAGTAAAAACAAAACAAAGCACAACAGCTATCAGAGATTACTCTGGAAATGTAAGCTTTGCTCAACATCAGGAAACCTACTAATGTAACTAATATGACCACAGCAGTTTCAAGATTAGATTATATGATCATCCTGACAGATGCTGCAAAGGCATAATAAAACTGAAAATCTGTTCTTGATCTAAAACAAACTTTAACATATAAGGAGAAATTAAAAAACAAACAAACAAACCTGAACATTCAGGATAAAAAGCTGTTATCAGAAGCAAACAGCGGGTGGGAGGATGGGTTAGCCTGGTAATGGGTATTGAGGAGGGCACATTCGGCATGGAGCACTGGGTGTTATGCACAAACAATGGATCATGGAACACTTCATCTAAAACTAATGATGTAATGTATGGGGATTAACATAAGAATAAAAAAAAAGATAAAAAAAAAAGAAGAAAAAAAAAAGAAGCAAACAGCAAATACTGGTAACAATTTCATGTTAGTTACACAGCAACCTAATGGAGGTCCGCAGATCACGGGTGGGCAGGGGAGAGGCAGGGCTGTGCATGTATGTGACGTGTGTATGTTTCAGAAAGACAGAAGCCATGCTTTCCAAAGGGATCCATGACCCTAGAAAGGTTAATGTTCCCTCTACTTAAGAAAAAATGAGGAAGTGAAGAAAAAGCCTGGTAGCACTATTATTTCCTAAAAATGTTGTTTTGGGGGTGGGGGCGGGGTGCCTGGGTGGCTCAGTGGGTTAAGCGTCTGACTCTTGATCGTGATCCACACTGGGTGTGGAACCTACTTAAAAAAAAAAAAAAAAGTTATTTCAGAGATTCTAGCTATGCACTAAGAGAACTAAAGAGGTATGCTGAAAAGGAGCAGACACATGATAATTCTTTGTAGATGAGCTACAAATCCAAAAATCCAAGAAAATCAACTGAGAAACCATCAAAGACCATGAGAATTTTATAAAGTGGCTGGATACAAGATAAATACACAAAGATAAACGGTGTTAATATATACATACTGGTAATAATTAAACATGCCAACCGGGATGATCCCCTCTATCGGGTGCCAGCACGTTATTGGCCTTCTTGCCTAAAGTCTTCAGTGCCTTGCCCAAATCCCTCACAGGTGTGACCTGCCTCTTCAGGCCTCACCTAGCTCAGCTTTGCCTTTGGTGGGAAAGCCTTCCCTTACCCACGGTATTAGACTGGCTTTCCCATACTTCTCCATTGTAACTGTGACCTCAAGTCTAACGAGCGCAGCAGTGTGTAATCATCTGGTACCTGTCTGCTCCAAGTTCCCTCAAACAGAGACTTGTAAGAGTATGTTACTGTTAATGGATGAATTCTCAGCACTTCAGAGAGGACCTGGCCCAGAGAAGGTGCTTAATAAGTATGTGCTAAACTATCTACTAAATAGGCAAGGCTTTTAGTAGAAAACTCCCATGAAGAGATTTGTATTCATATATATACAAACACAGATATGAATCAGATTTAGTATGGTAAAAATGAAAACTGGAAATTAATGTAATGCACTCTGAATAAAAAATGTCCGTGTTCTTTTTTTTTTTTTTTTGAAGATTTTATTTTTATTTATTTATTTGAGACAGAGAGAATGAGAGAGATAGAGCACACGAGAGGGGGGAGGGTCAGAGGGAGAAGCAGGCTCCCCGCCGAGCAGGGAGCCCGATGCGGGACTCGATCCAGGGACTCCAGGATCATGACCTGAGCCGAAAGCAGTCGCTTAACCAACTGAGCCACCCAGGTGCCCAAAAATGTCCGTGTTCTTATTTGGAGGGCAAAGACAAGATAAAATTATTCTCAAGCTCACTGGGAGAGTAAGTTTATAGGAACAGGTACATTAATTAAAAGACTTTGGGTGCTGGCTATGAAACAGCAATAGAATTTGCAGAACAGAATTGAGAAACTGACCCATAATATCTGAATTTAATAAATAAGGGTGACAATTAAAATAAGTTGTCAGACAGTGGTATTTTCAATTCAGTTTTAGAACAGGAAGAGTAATTAGATTGCTTTTTGATATTAAAATAATTTCTATGTTGCTCAAAGAAAAAAATGTAAATACTAGAAAAATACTATTATTATTATTTTTTTTTTAAAGATTTTATTTATTTATTTGAGAGAGAGAATGAGAGAGAGAGACAGCATGAGAGGGGGCAGGGTCAGAGGGAGAAGCAGACTCCCTGCTGAGCAGGGAGCCCGATGCGGGACTCCAAGATCAGGACCTGAGCCAAAGGCAGTTGCCCAACCAACTGAGCCACCCAGGCGTCCACAAGTAATTATTTTTTAAATGTTGGGGTAAAGGAAGGTTTTTCCTAGGCGTGACCCCCAAGTCAGAAACCATAAAGGAAAAGACTATGCTTAAGAATTTAAAAACTTCCATGTGGGGAAAAAAAAAAAAATCTCAAAACACAAAATTATCTGTCAGAAATGATGAAGGGTCAATCACTTTAATATATAAAGGACGCTTACTAATGAGAGAATGAATATGCCAACAAATGTGCCAGTGACCTGAACAAGCAATTAATTAGAAAAATCTATAAACATGAGCCACACCAACATTTCTAAGGTGCTGACAGGTGCTCGGCCAAGAGGTTTCGTAAACACTGTTCATGTAATTCACACAACCTGTGGTGGTATTATGTCTACTTCAAAAGCCGAAGACGTGAGGATCAGAAAGACTACATAATTTGCGTAAGCTACTAACTGGCATAAAGATGCTCAAAGAAATTCAAGCTAAAATGGCAATGAACTACTTCTGTGCCTGTAAGAACAGGGTGGGCAAAGGGCCCTCTTGTGAAACTGGACACTGAAATCTGGTAAAAATCTGTCAGACTTCCATTTGGCAAAGGGTGGTCAAACTAACAAAAGTACATTCTTTGACCTTGTATCTCCAGGGCAACAATTTTATTTATTTTTTTAGGTTTTAAAAAAATTCATTTGAGAGAGAGAGAGCAGGGAGAGCAAGAGAGCGCACAAGCAGGGGGAGTGGCAGGCAGAGGGAGAGGGAGAAGCAGGCCTCCCGCTGAGCAGGGAACCCGATGCGGGACTCCATCCCAGGACTCCGGGACCTGAGCCGAAGGCAGACACTTAACCCACTGAGCCACTCAGGCGCCCCAGGGCAACGATTTTATACTAAAGAAACATTCTAACAGGCACACAGGAATCTCTGTGCCAGGATGTTTAATGTAACGTTATTTCCTGTAGAGATGGAAAGAACTTAAATGCCTTTCAACATGGGCACTGCCAAGCTCCCACAGATTCACACAACCAACAACTCTGCACCCATGAAAAACCCAAGTCCTGACGTGGAAAGAGGCCCATAATAAAGAATAAGAACAGCTTACACAATGGTACATACAAATGGCATATATAGAGTAATCCCATTAAAGAAAAAAAAGATTGTATATTTACATCCTAGGAGAAAGCGGCATGAGTGCAAATAAAAGTGGCAGTAGAGATTATCTCTAGGGGACAGAGAGAACAGTCCCACTTTGAGATTATAACTCCAACATTGTACACCTTTTAATCACTCTGTCAGAAATTCCTAATATTAAAAAAAGATGGATCAAAGGATATATGCATTTAAATCCTTAACAAGTATGTCAAACTGCCCACTAAAAGCATCTTTTAAAAGGTAAAAACATAAAGAGAATGCCTGTTTTCTCACATACTTGCCAACTCTGGATATTGTCAAACTTTTAAACATTTCCTAAAATTGATAGATGAAAAGTGGAATATTACTTTAATTCGAATTAAAAAAGTTACGCGTGAGAATGAACATCTTTTATATAGTTTACTGGTCTTCGGCATTTCTTTTTGTGTAACCTAAACTTCTTTCCAACTGGGCTACACCTGAACACCTGTAGGTAAGTGAGGCAGCCGCAGATCAACTGAAGCTGTGCCTGTGTTTCTGGAGGGACCTGGAGCCTTCACAAGGCCTCTCCGCTCACGTACAGGCCCGGGGGCCGGCTGGACGCCCTGTTCTGTACGCAGTAGCAGGGGTGCCACCGCCCTCTGGGCCTGCCTGCCGACAACACCCCAGGGGCGCGAGGGCTTCCGCATTAGGAAGGGCCTGAGGGCAGCAGTACAGAACGTGCTCTGGACACGAGACAGCCGAGCGCCTCATCAAAGCTCCAGACGCTCCACCTGCACAGACCACAGCCACGATGTCCGTGGGTCTGTGACGCCCACGACCTCCAGCACTGTCACCCCAGGCCCTGGCTGAGGCCAAGGCTGCAATGCGCTGTGCAAAAATAAGAAGGCAGGTGACTGGGTTTTGGACAAGCTCTCGACGCCAACGGAATACGGCACAGGAAGATCTCTCACTGCACTCTTGTGAAGAGGATGGTAACTTACACGCATTTCCGTCTCACGTTCACTCCCACCATGAATACGAAGTTAACCAACGCTACGCTAGGGTGCTCAGAAAGGACTCTCAAGCACCAAGGGCCCCTCAGCGAGTGCCCTGCGGGTGAAATGAGGAAGTCCGTACGTACGGTTTCCTTCATCTGGATCTGGTTGATCTTTATCCGAAACAACTTGTGCTTGAACTCCCCATTGAACGTGAACGTGTCCCCGTCTTCCACCTCCTTCCCTTTGGGACTTTTAAGCAGAACTCGTGCTTTCCCACAGGCCAGGGACTGGAGCGTCCTTCGCAGTTCGCTGTCCTCTGCAAGGGAGAAAACCAGGCAGCGGCCACCACCACAGTGAGTGAGACTCAGTGTGGCTAGCAGAGGCTGAGTCTGCACCTTCGCTTAAACAAATACATGTTGTAACAACACCGACACCACACATTCCACACAACAACACAAAACCACACATTCATCCCGACAGGAGGACTCTTACCTATCCCCGTGGCCATTTTTATTTCTTCAAAGCTGAACCCGTCCCCTTCATTGAACATGAGGAGCACCAGCGTCTGGAAGAGGGACACTTGGAACTCCTTCTTTCCCTGGAAGAAAACGGGCGTAGCATGTGGGGAGTGGTGTGCACAATCTCTGGAAAAGCTGAAGAGGTTTCTTTTTGCTCTCAAACCGTGTGGGGTGTGGGGCTAGGAAATTACTAATCAGCCAGCAAACAAGAAGAAGTTAAGCAGTCGATTATACAAGAATAAAATGAAACTGGGCCTTGGACCTCACACCATCTGCCGCTCCTATTCACCGAGTGCCCGCGGCAGAGGCCCGCACATGCACGCGGGGAGCACGCACGCGGTGAGCTCCGTGCGGAGGAAAGCTGCAGGAGCTGGGGGAGGGCTGGCTGTGCAGAGGCAGGTGTGGTGTGTAATTCCCCTGCCTCGTTTACAGGGCACAATACATCAGTGCCTTGTAACGGTAGCAAAGTAGAAATTTTGTAAATTTTCTGCTTAGTGTATACAACCAAATTTTATTTACAATACTGAAGTTAAACAGGAGCATGAAGGCTCTCTTGTGACCTGCTTCTTTCCGTTATCAGTACACAGAATGCACTCTCCTCTTGTATCATGTCCCTAGCACTGCAACAAATGGGCTTATTCATTACTCTGTGAAAACGTCTCATTAAGATGAGTTTCTGGAACTGGCATTACGGTGACAAAGCCTGTGACTAGAGGCAGGAGATGCGCTGCCAAAACCGCCCTCCCTAAAGCTCACACGCTGCCCCTCCCACTGGCGAGAGGTGCTGCTCTTCTAAGTTTTAGCCCTGATCAATTCTGCAGTTAAAATGCGGTGCTTTACTGCATTTTAATCTGCAACCCTGTGACTAGCAGAGAGGTAGAACATATTTTCACTGAATTCGATTTTTTTAAGCCTTGCTTTCATGAGCTACCTCTACACATCCTTTGCTCTTTTTCAAGTACGAGCGCTTCACGAACTTGCGCGTCATTTTCTTGCAGGGGCCATGCTAATCTTCTCTATCGTTCCAATTCTAGTCTATGTGCCGCCTAAGCCAGCACCCCTTTGCTCTTTTTTCAGTTAGGTAAATGCTTTTCTATTTTTATTGATTTCTTATCGACTTTTAGAATATTAATCCTTCAACTATTTAATTCTATTGACCCAGAAAAGCCAGTGCTGAGTTACACTGAATAATCTTTTTTTTTGTTTGCTACCAAAGTTCAACCACAATTTAAAAAATGCTAGTAACATATTTATAAAAAATAAATGAAACAGACAAAGAACTTACTTCCTTAAACTCTGCTTTTAAAACAGCATGCCCCAATGTAGTTTGCCACTGAAGTTTTCGACCACTGTGCTTTCCGAGATAAAATGTCTTAAATACTTCCTGAAGTTTAACCATCTGCCAAGCACAGGAAAACAACAAATGTAATGATGCTAAACACCATTTGTTGAAATACCACATACTGCTCAATTTACAGAATTTTTACAATTCTTCAAAGCTGAATCTGGAAGGATAAAAGATCAGTTCTGTATTTTGACTGCTGTTTTTCTGGATTATTCTATGGCCTGTGAAGATGTGCGCCATCCGGGGTTTCCTCCCGCCTGCAACGCTGCAGGGAGTACTCGATGCACCTGATGTTCACACAGGCTGTGCTCTGCAGCATCCACACCGCACACTGGGCACCCCCAGCCTGCGGCACAGACCGTCCGCAGCACCGAGGCCAGCCCCGGTCAGAGCGCCAGGTCTCGGAGCTGCCGGGTGGGTGCTGTCAAAGCCCGCAAGCGGGCCTGCACAGGAAGCGTGACGTGCCACTGTTTCCATCGTTACTTTCTGGGAGGATTTCCCGTACCTTCCAGACCTTCTCCCACTTCTTTATTGCTATGATCTCACTTCTAAGTTCCCGAGCCCCTCCTCCTTGTCCAGGTGCCCACCCCCTCTGCACCCCGGCGGCATGCCACTCTCCCTGATGGACAAGCTCTCTGATCTCCAGCACAGCATTTCCGTGTGCACTCTCTGGGGCACCACACGCCCCCCTACCCTCTCCGCTCGGCTCCCTGGATGTCGCCACCACTCCGCACCAGGACAGCCGACGGTCTGTGCTGCTTCAGGCTTCAACGAGCGAGATGACCCTGCATGACAGCTTCGAGCGCACAGCCTCCCCTGCCCTCCGTGTCTCCGTGTCTCGTCCATTCCTTCTGAGCCTTCCTTGGTTGCTCTCCCACCAACCCTGGACACGGTGGCACCCTCAGCTCCCAGTCCTATGCGCTGGCCACTTGGCTCATTCCCGTCAGTGTCCTTGGCTGCTCCCAAGTTCTTAGGATAGAGGTGGAAACTCTCCCGAGGCTTGCCAAGGGCCCTTCCTTCCAAACCACTGACCGCACTGGCCTGTCCCGTGCCTCCTCCACTTGACCAAGCGCGCCATGCTGTCCTCGCTCAGGCTGCCACGGGAACCTGCCGCCATGCCCACTCATCTTTAAGAGCTCCTTCCTCACAGAGGTCTTCTCCAGCTGCTTGGCTCTGACAGCATTTACAGCAACTTGTGAACGTCCCTCCGGACAGAGAGCTCAGGGGGCAGGGCCGAGGGAGGGGACACCGCTCTTCCAGCCCGCGGCACCCTTCCTTCGTGCTCCATCCAAGTCAGAATGCCCGTCGGCCTCGCATCCGCACGGCAAACCTGTCCTCACGCTTCAAAACTATCCCGCACACCCACTACCCATCACCAACATCAAATCCCAGACACGACGGTCATTTCTTTTCTAAGTCTTTTAGTATATAATGAAAGGCAGTTACTCTTTCAGAACACGTACCTAATACCGTATGACCCCCAAGCAATAAAAGCCAATACTGTGATACACTTCTTAGAAACTTTCTCCCTGAGATTAATTCCTGGGAGTGGTACTAACAGTGAGAGGACAGAAGCTAACACTGAGGGATTACTATGTGCCAGTTACAATCCCAGGCTCAAAATGGATCAGAGACCTAAATGTAAGAGCTAAGACTATAAAACTCTCAGCAGAAGACAGGAGTAAATTTTCATGACCTTGGATTTGGCCATAGTTCTTAGACATGAGACCAAAAAGTAACAACAGAAAAAAACAGATCAGACTTCATCAAAATTCTAAAATTCTGTGCAAAGAACACCATCAAAATAGTGAAAAGACATCTCACAGAATGGGAGAAGATATCTGCAAATCACATACCTGGTAAGGATCTAGTGCCCAGAATACATAAAGAACTCTTGCAACTCAGCAACAGAAAGACAGGTAACACAATTACAGAATAGGCACAGGACTCGCACAGACAGTTCTTCAAAGAGAGACAGTGGCCAACGAGCACACGAAATGACGCTCAACGGTATCATTATTCATTACGGAAAAGCAGATCAAACCAAAATGAGACACTGATTCACACCCATTAAGATGGCTAAATCACAAGTGTGGATGGGGATGTGGAGAAACGGGAAGGCCTGTGTGCCTCCAGTGGGGGTGGGAAAGGGAGCAGCTGCCGTGGAAAACCAGTAGTTTCTCGAACAGTTGAACAGGATTATCACACGACCCAGCACTTCTACTCCCAGGCGTGGACCCCAAAGGAACTGAAAGCAGGGACTCCGGTATTTACAGGCTCCTGTCACAGCAGCGACACCCACAGTAGCCAAAGGTGAAGGACGTCCATGGAAGGACGATGGATGGTCAGACAAAATGTGGCCTGTGTGCACCCTGGAGTATCACTCAGCCCTAAAAAGGAAGGAGGCACGGCACGGGGTGTGGCAGATGGGCCTTGCAAACAGGATGTCGTCGAGAGGAAGAAGTCTGACACAAAAGGCCACACACGGTGTGTGGTTCCCACTATGTTAATAACCGGAACAGAGAATCCAGAGACAGCAGGTTGGCGGGTGCCTAGGTCTGGGCGAACGGAATGGGAGGGAGGGCGTGCTCAACGGGCGCAGGGCTCTGTCTGGGATGAACTAGATGGAGATGCCACCCAACTGCACAGGTTAAAGTGGTAAATTGTAGGTATGCTTCACCTATAATTGCGTTATCTGTATTTATATCGTAGGTATATTTTTAAAAGGCTCAGTACGGTAAGCCTCAAACATCTTCTGCTAGAAAACAAAAAAGTACTAAAAAACCCACAAGGGCCTGTAGAAGGACAAAGGGCCTGTAAGGCGCTCCAGCAGCCGGATGCGGGACAGCGTGAACATGGAGACAAGTAACCAAGAGTCCGTGAGTTCGTACAGATAAAGATAGAAAGAGCCACTGTTCGTCAACAGGACTCAGGAGTCACCCCGCAGGAGAGTCTGATGGGGAAGAAGAGGAGTATCTCCCCACAGGTTACTTCAAAATCACAAAAGGAAAAATACTAACCACAGTCGAGAAACCAGCTAACACCTTAACCCAATGACGACATGGGCCACCACCAACAGACGGGGGCCAACGGACAGCACGGGCCTCCTGACGCAGCGCTGAGCAAACCTGTGTGTGATTCTGGCTGGACAAATATGGCCTGAATCGAGTCACACACGCCCAACGGAGATAATTCATGAAAACACGTGAGCCTCAAGAAAGAAGGAGGGTGGTGTAGCTGTGACGGAGAAAGGAGACCACGGCTCACTGCAGTGTGGGGCCTGGGCTGGGCCTGGACAAAACTGGAGAGGGCTCCGCATGGGATAATCACTGCAGCAGTGTCAGGGGTCTGACTCAACGACGTGCTCGGGGAAGCACCCACTGAGGTAGTAAGGGGTAGGGGGTCTCTCTCACGTGGCAGGGACACCCCACCCATCCATGCAGAGGGAAGGATCACCGCCAGCGGCAGGGCTGGAGACACAGGCAACAGCTTCTGGGGACACTCTGAACGGTTCTTACAAAGTCCCTGAGTCTCAACTACCTCAGAGTAAGAAGTGAACAAACCGGCAGCACCCCAACAGGCACAGGTGTGGCTGAGTGCGGTGAGGAGGTGAGGGAGGGTTTCTGCAGGAGACTCCATCTCGGACAGTGACACCCCGCGGCCGTGGAGAACGTGGGAACGGGGGCGGGGGGTGCGTGGAGCCCACAGGCAGCTTGGGATGGAGTCTCTGCATCTAGCAGCTGCACTCCCCACAGGGTGGGGACTCAGGCAGGGGGGTGGGGGACGACAGCAATCTGGTGTGCTGAGCCTGGGACGTCCGTGTGCACTCAGGCCCAGGGACTCACAGCCTGGAGTCTCAGTGCCTGTGTGGGCTGAGGAGGGAGCTGAAGGGCTCTGGGAATGTCAGTGTCCAAAGCAGAGGCAGAGGCAAAACGAAGACAGTGTGTAGAAGGGTACATCAACTGTACTTCAACAATAAATTAAAAACAAACAAGCAGTAAGAATAAAACCACAAAGGCAACCAGTGGGGCCAGAAACAAGAAAATCCTGAAAGACCTGGTCTTGGAAATGGAACAAGCAGCCTCCAGAGGCACTGTTTCCAACCTGGGCTCCCTGTTCCTACAACTCCATGCCTTCCTGGGCCCTTTCTAGAAGGTCCTCGTCCCTGCTGCTTCTACTTCCCCGAGCCACACCAGAAGCAAGCTCTCTTCCACGTCACCTGGTATTATGATTGACGGTGCTGGGGCTGGTTTTAAGTTCCCGAGCCCAGGACCCTCCCTCCTCTCTGCAAATCCCCAGCAGGCCCGAAGTTGTGGCCGACCTACGAAGCCCTGAGCAGTGGCGCCCGTGAGACCCGGAGTGTCCACACTGGGACTGAATGACAACCAGCAAGCAGCGCCTCCCAGCACCTGGGCCGCTGCCTTCTCGACGGTCAGCCAGGGGCCTGGCGGGGGGAGGGGGGGGTGTCAGAAGGAGCCGGACAGGGTCACAGGCAGTCACTGAGCAACACTGCTTTCCAGAGACTACAAGGACACTGGGTCCGTGATGGTGGGATTTAAAACCCTCTCATTAAATATCTCGTGACAGATAACGCATCTGTGCACGGAAGGCGTGTAAGAAGCCTACGGCACTTTAGCAGCACTGACACAGGAAACGCGAAGGACAAATGCTCTTTCAAACACTCACTTCTGGAGTTAGATGCACTTCCATAGGCGTGTATGTGGGCCAGTAGCCCATCGTAAGTATGTTCACTGTTAGATCTATAGAGCCCGGGTCGCTCTGATTCTGCATATACTAAAAACAAAGACAACAAGATAAAATAAGTACTGTAGAATACCATCCAAAACAACCAGCTCATAAAAAGGTAAGTGGTGTTAATTTTCAAAATACGGTTCAACATGTGTTTGTATTTAGTCCCGAGAACACATTCCACTGAAGACACATGACACGGTCCAAAGCCACTTGGGATATTTCTCCTTCTTCTTTGGTTATGTTACCAACACAGGATACTATTACACTTATTAAATCAGATTTCTGTTATACATTTTTAGGGATTATTTTTCTTTTTCATTTTGAATTTAAGTTACTCAAATGTGTGAGGAGTGTCACTTTTAAGGCCGAGGGCTTGACATAACGTAAAGTGGGATCGCTTACATACAGCTGTTCTATTTGAACAAAAACACAGCTTGCCTGCTTGAACTGGACCATGATGTCCTTGGAGAGCTCCATGTCCTTGAACATGCCTTCCAGCTTGCTGGTGAAAGCGGCGCCACACTCTGGGACACAAGCAGAGGGCGTGAACACCACTGGGGACAAGGCCCAGCACAGAGGAGGGACACACCCTGGGGCCCACACACTTACCATGCTTTAGTTTTGACAACATCGATTTCTCAGCATCTACTGAGGCGCTTTTCCCAACCAGGAGTCTTTTGGCCAAATCTTTTTTATAAAATGCTTCGAAGACATCTTTCCCTATTTATAACCAAATGAGAACGACACGAGACATCAGACAGTTAATACGGAAATCTTCCCTCCGACTGTGGACAGTCTAAGTGTCCGTTCTGCGGCATGCTGCCCTAGCACGCAAGCCTCCTGGGACGCCACCACAAAAGAACACTTGCAATGCAATAGGCGGCGGCCATCCCTCTACCTCCTGTGCTACCACAAAGGGGAAAGGTCTCAGTCAAGCTTCCTCAAGAAAAGACAGGGCCCAGGGCGCCTGGGTGGCTCAGTTGGTTAAGCAACTGCCTTCGGCTCAGGTCATGATCCTGGAGTCCCGGGATCGAGTCCCGCATCGGGCTCCCTGCT